CATATCAAATACAAAATCCTGACTTCAAATACAAATTATTCACATCAAATACAAATTGCTCACATCAAATACAAATTACTCACATCAAATACAAATTACTCACATCAAATACAAATTACTCACATCAAAAACAAATTACTCACATCAAATACAAAATCCTGACATCAAATACAAATTACTCATATCAAATACAAAATTCTGACATCAAAAACAAGATTAAACGGTCAGCGGTGATATCACATATACTTTAATTTGCGAAACTTTAATACTTTAAGTAATAGCGTCATCGGTTAAGCTAGTGAATGACACCAATGGACACTTTGGATTTTTTTTTTCCTTTCTGATAGACGTGAACGAGTGTGCCACCAATAACGGAGGCTGCGATCAGATCTGTAACAATACGAAAGGAAGTTATGAGTGCAAATGCCGCAGTGGTTTCTTACTTTCTAGCGATAAACACAAATGCAACGGTAAGTAAAAAAAAAATAGAGTACAACAGCAATACCTACATTTGTGGCACAATCTATCTCCTATGTCCTCCTATATTCAACAATGTCTGAGGAACAGAAAAGTGTCAGCCTCGTATGTACTGGTAAAAATCTCCGGAGTTCGGTCGTTTCGATACAAAATCGTTTTTGTTTCGATAAGAAGTCAAGCAGTGATATTGCACAAAAATTTCGATCACTTCAGACCTCCAGAAGCCTACTCTTGACTAATTTTCATCGTCTTGAGATGGCAGGGAGAGATTTGCCCCAGCTAAACAATCGTGAGAGAAAGTCTTTGCGTAAGCAGTCTTATTCTAGGAAACATTCAAACAGTCGTTAATTTGGAATCTCATTCAGAATAAATGGCATACAAATCAAAACTGGACAATTCAATGGTAAAACATGGAAGACTATAGACAAAATCCTGATCTTTGAAATAATCCAGGAGGTCATAGTAATCGAGAGTGTAAATGATGGAAAAGACATCCTGGCCTTGTTCCCTCTAGAATTCAATAACAATTGTCAATTCAGTTTTAAGTGAACAATAGCCTCAATAATTAACAAGAAACAACTAGTGTAATTGATAATTATCCTGCAAAAAGTAATCCATTCATTACGAGACAGTCCGCGATCCGATACAAACACGTGACAGTTTAGAATATCACATACCAAGAAAAGAGAAAGATACCAAGTAAAAATAAGTGGCATGCAAAGACCAGTCTTCATTTGAAATCCCAGCTGTAGGGTAAACACTAGAGTTCAGTAGTCTTTTATTTACGTGTATCTGTTTACATGTCATATATTTTATCTTTTCACTATTTTGTTACTTTTTACCATTCTTTTTTTTATACCTGCTTGCGGCATGGCACAGATGTGGATGAGTGTAGTGTTAATAAAGGTGGCTGTAACCAGTTCTGCCATAATACCTTTGGGAGTTATTATTGCTCGTGCAAAAATGGCTACAAGCTTTCAGCAGACAATCATACCTGCAATGGTAAGGTTATGCTCAACATTGAAGTTAGTGGTAGCGTGAAAATTTTTGACATCTGTCATATTGTGCATTTCTTAATAGTTATTTCACTTTCAATAAAAATAATTGATGATATTTAGCAGTTTTAACCAGCTCACTTTCTAAATCCGTATAATTTTCACGACCTGGTTGTCCATAAGGTGAATAGTCCTTTGTGGTGCATTCCCGCAGTGCGGTGAGATAGACGTTACACTGTTCTATATCGATCGTAACTGCCTCGATGAGCTATAAAAGCTGATCGAAACTATGAATACGAAGTTGCAGTTAGAGGTAGAAAGAAAAACACTCCTTTTTCTTCTTGTAGAAGGGAAAACCCTTTAGCAAATGTGTCCCTATCATTATTTTCATTTTGAGGAAAGGAGAGCGTAACGTTGTAATTACTTTAAACTCACATTCTTTAGATATCGACGAATGCGCGGTAAGTAATGGCGGATGTAGCCATGGCTGCCAAAATCTGCAAGGAACCTATTTGTGTACGTGTCCAAAGGGATTTGAACTGGACGCAAGGAAAAAGAACTGCACGGGTAAGACAATAGCAAGTCTAACAACAATAATATTAATAAAACAAGCACATCCTTCAATTCGTCACTGTACCCTTTGAGAAGGTAATAAAACATTTTTAATAGCAGAAATTCTTAACAGTTGTTTACTCTAACACTATGTTTTGTGTTTCTACTGGTATTACGCTATATGCTCAACCTTGCTTCGATTAATGCCCAGAACATGTAAAACAATTACGATAAAAAACTATTCAATAATTTTGAAAATCATGTATCTTTATTGCGCCGTAAATCATCAAAATGAAAAAAAATTAAATGGTCACGAATGTCGTATATTTGAACCCGAGGAATGAAGAAATAAATACATTAAGAAGGCCAATATCTGAGAACATTGCCCTTTAAAAATCTATTTTCCTTTGCTTACAGATACAAATGAATGCTTGCTTGCGAACGGTGGCTGCCAAACTCATTGTACCAACACTAACGGCAGCTATTATTGCTCCTGTTTACCTGGATTTGAGTTATACGATACACTCAGGTGCAGAGGTAAGACAACAGAGGTATAAAAATATCTTTTCAGAAAATCTCTAAGAGACAAATAGGATTACACAAAAAGAGCCTTGTCAGAAAAACAGCCCTATTCTTTCCCAAAAGCTTTACTTGATAAGTCCAAAAAATAATCCATTGTCTTGATATATAGCTCCCATACAGTGTAACTTGTGTCATCTCGTCGTAACGAAAATCTCTAAGGCTAAGGCCAAAAGTTGAACTTTTCAGCTGTGGGTTAAAGGGGCTGTGTCATGGCGGTCTAGTTCATTTTTATTATTTAACAATTATTGGACGAGGTTAAGCAAAATATCGTGATTTGTCAGTGGCGAGCAGATCAAATAATTGATCTGCGAGACACTGACAAATCACTATATTTTGCGATTACCGAGTTCAATAATTGTTTATCATTCGATCACCAAGTTTTTTATTAATGAATATCTTCTGGAAGCGAAGCGATCTGCCATTTTTCACGCAAGAGCGATCGCAAGAAGGAGAAAAGCGTGGTTCGTTTACGCATTAGCAGGATATCATTTGCAGCCAAACACAGTTGGACGACGTGCATGAACAGATCATTGTCTGTAGGCAGTTATTTGAGGGGCACGTGGTGGGATTTCAGCCAATGAAAAGGACGAAAAATTTGCATCGAATGATAATGCCAATTATGCGTCCTTATTCGCTGGTGAAGAAACTAGTTGTTAAAATAAAGAAAGACACGTTTTCAAAAGCCACAATCCCAACCCGTTTTAATCTACTTTAAATTTTGTCCATCCCTACTTTTTTTGTATTTTCCTCGTTGTTTATAAATGTACCTTCTTTAAACGTTTGAGTGGAAAATCATGCTTGTAAGGGAGTGGAACCCTTCACCACTGCGATACCATTGCAGCGCTCTTCCAATTGAGCTAACAAGCCAATTGGGAGCAGCTCATTTAGTTTCTTTGTTACAAACTCATGAAAGGATGACGATGAAGTAATAAATATAAGTTTATGATTAGTTCTACTTTTTTCTCAGATTAATTTGAGTTCGCTAGAATGAGTTTTGACCGACAAACATGTTCTGTCCGTCTTCTTTAGACTTTAAAAGCACTCAGCCATAGGAAGATATGAGGTTTGATGACACCATTTTATTTTTAGACATAGACGAATGCTCTCATAACAGCGACAACTGCAGCCGATCATCAACTGACTGCCAAAACTTTCAAGGAGGGTACGAGTGCAAATGCAAGTCGGGCTACAAATACATTCAAGGAGATAAATTTAACTGTGAACGTAAGCATGCCATGTATTTTTAGTGACTAAAAAGTTAAAGTGTCCTTATATTACGGCAGTAACTCGTGTTATCATCTCAGTAACAAACGTGAGGCCAACGGTGTGCTTCCCCCACTCTCTTCACAACGATTTGAGGTCACACCTGGAGATCGAACATGGAACCTCCCGCACAGAAGACCGTGCACGAACCAACTGTACCAGTCCTTGCTCCAACTTGACTTTGACCTCATTACATTTTATTTTACATTATATTTCAACAAACAAATCATTCTTTATTTATTTATTTATTTACTTATAGTTCGGTCTTGCCCACCCCTGGTGGAAGTAGATGGAACTTCTGTCAGCCCGAAAGATTGTTTGGTAGTTGGTGCAAGGAAAGTTAAGGACACCTGTACCTTCAGTTGTAAGGAGGGGTACAAGCTTCCAGACCCCAATCAACCTACCTTGACCTGCCTGGATACTGGGGCCTGGGATAAGGCTGTTATAAACTGTCAACGTGAGTAATGAAAAGGAAAATATTTGGTTATTTGCAGAAGTTTAGATGTACGCTGTCTGAATATGTACAAGCTAAACTGTTTAATACCATAAAATATTTATTAACAATATATTCTGATAGCAAAAATTCAAACCTTATTGTAAACAATGAGTATACAAGCAAAAACATAATAATACTCTGTCTGGCTAAAAGAGAAAATGATAAGTACATTTAAGGGAAAGTAAAACAGTAATCGGAGCATATCAGTCTTCGTAATGATGCTCTTTTTTCTGCTCATTAATTTAATTTCAAATTCTTTTACTTATTGTAAAATTAATGTCAGTTTGGCATTTGATCCCGAAAGTTAGGGATCCAAATGATTAAATGTATTTCTGAGCTTTATTTCACCATTTTCTAGGCAAGAGCTGCCCTGCATTACCTCCAATTCAAGATGGATTACTTATCCCAGCTTTCTGTGCGGTGACTGGGAATTTTTTTAACCAGTCCTGTCAGTACTCTTGCAATCAAGGTTACCGTCTAAATGGAATCTCTTCTCGGACCTGCCAGGCTAACGCTGAATGGGATGTTAAGGCAATTCCTAAGTGCGATAAAGGTAAAATAGACCTTGTCACAGTTTTCGACGCCATCTGGACGAGTAGGCAAACGTGTCCAGAAATTACAGTGTTTGTATGAGAATCTGATGTCGAACAATTTCCGTAAAACGGCTGCTCTTAATAAAATATGACTTGTAAACTAAAGCTTCAAAACAAAAGAATTGTATTAAGAAAATTTTGGGGCGTACCTGTGCTTAAACTTCTCCAGAGACTTGCTTTTAGATTTTCCCGTATATTTGTCTGTAATTTTTTCCCGGGGCTTTCTTACAGACAAATGTATAGAAAACTTTAAAAAGTAGTTCTAGGTCTTCTAGCGCATGTAACGCCCTTAATTTTTTCAGTAGAATTCTTAGGGGTGAAGCTTTGGTTTACAATTCATATTTTTTCCAGAACAGCCGTACTACGGAGATTATTCGACATTAGATTCTCATACAAACACTGTAATTTCTCACGCGTTTGCCTACTCGTCAAGATGGCGTCGAAAAGCGTGACAAGTTCTATTAAACGGACCCGATTGGACGCTAATAGAAAATTCAACATCATTAAGAATAAGTAGAAGGAGCATGATCGTCGGGGTGAGCGTAGTCCTGAATAGGAAAGTTGTTGACAGTCACTGACAACAACAGTCCTGTTCTGGGCTACTATGCTCACCCGGGTGATCATGTTCCATAGGTGCAGGGGCCGTCCACCTTTAGAGTATTTACACTGATAAATGGATCATTCATGCACCACTGATCTTTCGATCGATGCTGTACATCCAGCCTCTTACGGTTACCAGAGCGTTGTGTAATTCCAAATATTAGCATACATATTCCTTTGTTTGCTACGACTTTTTCTCCTCAGCGTCGTTTATTTCAAGCTTGTTAACGTACGGCACTCTCTTTGGCACGAAACCATCGCGTAGATGAATCGTTTTTCCCTAATAGTCGCTGAAAACTTTTTTATTGTAAGCTAAAAGTCCTGCAGTTGTGACTTAAAGATGATGACAAATAGAGAGCATGCGATGAATGGCCTGACTTCCGTCATCCTGAGAGGGTACAATATGCAATACAGCATTTGGCGGAAAGTTGAGTTGACCTGCTGCATGGTCTTTAGAAAGAAATAAGCTAAAATTACCTCAGGTTTCAATATTACGGTAGTTTAGCTGGAGGTCAATATTCAGAGACAATGCTATTAAGGTTCGTCTGATTCATTTTATTAAATCACAGTTTAACAATTACAGATTCTCTTGAGTACTTCATTATAGTTATTGCTGTATGGAATGTGTGTGACGGCCAAAGTATCATCTGCTTTCGAGCTGGCCACCACCTACTTTTGAATATATTAACATAAACGATGTTGAAGACAGAGTCATTAACGGTATGCTGAACGAAATCTCCTATGATTTTTTTTTTCAGTGTACCCGAAGCCTTGGATCTCATGCCCTGACGATGTCATCGTCGATCTCGCTCCAAATAAGAATACCTATGACATTACTGCACTGCTTGGGCAACCTCAGTCTAATGTGCCGAATATTCAATTGTTTCCAGAAGAGCACCGTAATAGCCTGGTTTTTCCATACGGTCTAACCATACTCACATACGTCGCCAGCAATGAAGTTGGTACTACCGCAAATTGCACGACAAATATTATTGTTCAAGGTAAGCATGGGCGCGAAAACTATCAGAAAAGTTGATATAAAATCGATTTTAAAACCTTCAAATGATTTTGGAGAATTACTGAAAACCAATTCACATCATAATTAAGTGTTTTCTGTCCTAGCCCGAGTATGGTTCGTTCACGTTCCAAAATGGATAATGTGCGAGGTTTTCTATTGGAGGGTTTAAACTGTATTACCATGTTACACATGACGTTCTATGCTCAAACTTCTCGGCCTTCTACTTTCACATTTTCACTTTACAACACGTCCTTTCAATGATATATAGCCTGCGGGAAGGAAGACGGGGAATTCGGGCGAGGGAAGGGTAGGGTTATGCTTGCCTTGTCCCTGTACGACGTTTTCCCAGTCCCTCTCGGTCAATTCACTTCCGAGACGAACGGTCCCGAAACACTTTAGTCGCGCGGAATAATGAGGCCCACGGACTAGGCAATTAGAGCACGGTGGCCAGATGAAGTATTGCTTCTTCTCAGTACATAAGAAACATACTAGAAGAAAAGAATACCAGACAATATGGACCGTTGTATCCATCTTATAACCAAGAATGTTCCAAATAGCTGTTTATTCAGGAACATCGGAGAAGTCCACATTCAGTGTATGCGTACTTTTACCAGTTATTCCGTTGTGACACATACTGGTCCTCTTTTATCCTTTTTTTTTTCTTAATTGCAGCTTATCTTACTTGATTTGCTTTACATAGCATTTTCTCCATGCACACTAACAATTTCATCTCTTACATAGATAAGCAACCACCTAGCGTTGTCTATTGTCCTGACAACATTTATCAGTTGATAGTGGGTTCGACCGCAAGTGTAACATGGAAACTGCCAGAATTTTCGGACAATGTTAAAGTGGTTAAAGTCACATCAACAAAAAATCCCGGAGACACCTTCCAACTGGGATCCACCAACGTTAAATATGATTCTTTTGATGACAGTGGTAATACCGTGAGCTGCACCTTTTCTGTGACGCTCAAAGGTGAATGTGTTGATAGTTTACAATACCTACATCGCTATGTAATGAAGCCAGTAGTTCCATTTTAAACAAAAATAATAACAACAACAACACCTAGAAAATGCGATTAACTAAAGTTGGATTTCTTGCAAGAAGTAAGTCTAAAGTGGATGAGGTGGACAAATTTTGCTCTATAACAGGAAAACGGATCCTTTACTATAGAAACCCCTCATAAGTAAAAAATTTGAAACATGACAGAATGTAATCTGTTCAATATCATTAATCCAAGTCTACCATGGAAAGTTCTTTAAACGAAATAGAATGAACTTGGGTCATGGAAAATGCCTCCTTACCTTAGCATGGTATGTCCCGTACGATACTTTAGTCAGCAGGAATCTAGTCCAAACTGCACTAAGTGCCCGCCACAAACCAGCACCAAAACAAATGGCTCAAAAGCGTGCACCGGTGAGCAAATACATGTACAGATGTTCTTAAAAAATCTAATGAAGATGCACGAAGGTTTCAGTAAAAAGGAGAATATATCAAAATAACACAATCGTAAGAAATGCACTACCAGCGAAGGTCTTTGAGCTCTGGTATCATGAAGCTACATGCAATTATAAGATGCTGCAGCCGTTATGATCATCTCGTGATTATTGTCGCCTGCCTAGATTTTGTCCCAAATTCAGGAGCGAAAAGCAATTTTTCAAAGTAATTTTTCCTTTTTGAATACTCACTAATTGGACTGAACGACGCCTTACTATTTTGTCACCATAAAATCATTGTTCTCCATTAAGAAAGCCTTAGCATAGCGAAATGAACCGGTTTGAATTTAAAGCCTAAGCGGTATGACCATCCCAAACTTTCCACCACGAACGTTTAACAAGAACTTTCTAACTATTATATATTAGTAAAATCCAACTAGTGGTCTATTATCAATGCTACGTTCTGATTGGTTGAGCTACTGCTACGCTATATGTTACAGCCAACTAGTAGCGAAAAGCGCCGGATTTTTGGAGGCAAAAAAGGATTTAAGTCCAGCTTTAAGTTGTTTTGTCTCCATATTTTTTACCAACTAGTTGGATTTTACTAAAACAATAATTGTTAATTAGCCATTCGCTGTACTGTTTCATTTGTTCTATAACTATTTATTTTTTGCTTTTTTTTGTTGCCCTTTTGGTTTGTTATTTAAACAGCTAAAAAGTGCGAGAAACCTGCAAATCCAGATAACGGAGTACTCAAGTGCGAAAATTATGGGCAAATGATGTTCTGTACAACTACCTGCAATCCTGGTAAACAGCCATTCCAATACACATTTGGCTCAATCTGCAGTCAATCAACTTTAAAATGGCAGCCGATACCGGATTGTGTGGGTGAGTATAGTTAAGTGGGTAACCAGTAACTTGCCACGTAATTTGCATTTGCCAATTGCCCGATTATACACAAAATGAAACCCAGACTAGATGAGTCACTCTAAATAACCAATTAAGACTAAAAACTATGTCGTGAAAATTTTACTTTCGCTTACTGGTTTATTTGTTTCTTTGATAAAAATATCTTTAAAAGAAATAAACAATAGAAAACCATATATTCAGGAAAGTTTATTTCTACCTTCTTCATGCCTTGGTCTTCGAGAAGGTCCTAGACGTATTTCAGAAAGATAGGAAAACCTGTCCGGCTGCGGGATAAGCTTTATATTTTATAATTTACCTTAAACAAAAAATTACTGCCAATGCAAATTGAATGGCTGACATTGAACGATGAATCTACTATTGTACTATTTTATAGACGCTGTTCTTCTGCCTGACAGCGGAGTTTGTCCTGATGGAAAAATAAAGCAAGGCACCTTAGCGTCAATGGAAAACTATATCAAATATTGTGGTGGGTAACAAATCATCTGGGCCCTCGTGGAAAAGTCTTTTGCTACCCGAAATGGTGTGGTTTTGGTCACTTTAATACCGTCATATTGTATTTTTCTTTTTTTACAGTGAGTTGTCCTCATGGAATGAAATATGATAATGCACTGAAAGATTGCGTGGTATGTCCCGTAGGCTACTTTAGTCAGCAGGAATCTAGTCCAAACTGCACTAAGTGCCCGCCACAAACCAGCACCAAAACAAATGGCTCAAAAGCGTGCACCGGTGAGCAAATACATGTACAGATGTTCTTAAAAAATCTAATGAAGATGCACGAAGGTTTCAGTAAAAAGGATAATATATCAAAATAACACAATCGTAAGAAATGCACTACTAGCAAAGGTCTTTGAGCTCTTATATGATGAAGCTACATGCAATTATAAGATGCTGCAGCCGTTATAATTACCTCGTTATTATTGTCGCCTGCCTAGATTTTGTCCCAAATTCAGGAGCGAAAAGCAATTTTTCAAAGCAATTTTTCCTTTTTGAATACTCACTAGTTGGACTGACTATAAAACGACGCCTTACTATTTTGACACCATAAATTCATTGCTCTCTATTAAGAAAGCCACTCAATTTAAAGGAACTCAAATTAACTCAGCTTTATTTAGATTTCTAGTAAAGAATCATTCAACGAATTTTTGACTGAGTTTCCGCTTCATCATTGAATATGCGTTTGTCAGATTTGTGCGATAAAGGAGAGTCGTCTGCCGATGGATTTGACAATCCTAATCATGACGCCTGCCATCTGTGCTCCATGGGTTTCTATCAGGATCAGTATGGTGCTACGAGCTGCATGCAATGCCCCAGTGGATTAACAACTAAAGCAAAGGGTTCCATCACTCGGGACGATTGTGGAAGTATGTGTCGATATTTATTCTTGAGCTTTTTGTACTTTAAGCATATTTATAACCGGCTTTTTTTGGTTTTCTGAGAATACGGGGAAGGGGAGCAAATCCTCTGCCCACCTTTACCACCACCTAGCTACATTCCGTAATTCTAATAAGCTTTATTATTCATTCAAAATATTTCCCCAATTATGATTGGCTTAAAGCACACGCAAAATTCACCATAACCAGTTACTGATGACCAAATTTGGAAGAATTGTGTGTTTAACGAGGAAATGACGTCAAAAATGCAGCCCGCTACAGGTTAGGGCACCGTTACCGAGAAGACATGGGGACGAGGTTGAGTTGTTTGGGTTGTGAAAAAAAAAATGGGGAACATTTCACTCGTTTTTGTTACCCTTATCGATCTGCTTAATTCTTCATATACTACAAAAGCCGAATTCATTAATTGCTTTATTATTCATTCAAAATATTTCCCTGATTATGATTGGCTAAAAGCACACGCATAATTCACCATAACCAGTTTCTGATGACCAAATTTGGAAGAATTGTGTGTTTAACGGGGAAATGACGTCAAAAATGCAGCGTTCGTGCTGGTTAAGGCACCGTTAACCGTGAAGACCTGGGAACGAGGTTGAGTTGTTTTGATTGTAAAAACGAAAAATGGCGGACATTTCACTCGTTTCAAGAGTAAGAACTAGGCGAAAAAATAGCTAAAAACATGGCCAGAACAGCAAGAAGACAACTCGAAGGACGACATCTGCTATTTGGAGAATATTTGCGGAGCTGGACAAACCTAAACGTGCACTATCGAAGATGAACTTAACATCGATGGATCGATGGAGGTAAGCATGTTTTAGCCATGTTTTTAAACTACGAATTATCTTGAATGAATAATAAAACAATTATTGAATTCGGCTTTCTTATAATATGAAGAATAACACCCTTCTCGATCTCCATAATTCCTCATAAGATAATTAATTGTTAAGTTATTATTCAAGTTGGACCCGGGTTCGTCTCGGTCCATAAAAGAATATAAAGAACTTCGCCTATAGCCAGCCATCTTGGCGCAACAAGCTTGGTCGATAACAGATTTAATCTAGTTTTTCTCGCGCAAACAAAGCTGGCAAGATAGGCCCATCTTGCGTGCTCCAATAGCCAATCAGAATAAAGGATTCTCTCTATCTTGCTCGCTTGCGGAGACAGCCGTCAAGCAATAAAACTTCTACATTTAACAAACCTTTAACCACCAGGATTTAGATTTAGATTTTAACTGTCTTTGACTAAAAAAGACAGCTCCGAAAACGAACATTGACTGCCAGGCCAACAGGTGCCCGGCAGGATTAAACTCACTTCTGTTTAGCGAACTCAGGCAGATGAGTTACTGGCTGCCAAATTTCTATATGTACCGATCGGCTCCCTGTTTGCCTTTGTAACTGCCTTACTGTGGATTCCTTATGCCCACAGCCATTCCCTCAGTTTCTTCTTTTGGACCACCTTCCACGGCAGTCAACGTGAGTGAGAACGGCAGAGCGGAGTTTGTGTGCATGGGATCTGGACCCCCGGCACCCACCTTCCTGGTTAAAAAAGTAAAACCAGTACCAGGTAAGTTTTTTTATTTATTTATTTTCATTTATCGCTTATAGTTTAGCATCTTTTATTAGTATAACCAAGAAACCTGTAGGCAAGGTACGATGGGGACAAGGCCGCCAGATGAGTAAAGCATAACCACACAGCCACTAGGTTGTCCTTCGCAAGAACTACGCCTAATGTCAGTCTCTATAAGTTGCATCAGGAGCTGCATATAACTAGAAGGAGATCGTATCAATCAACTTCTTTATGTTAAACCATAAGCCCAGGAGTTTGAATTCTGTGATCTTGTCCAAGAGAGGTACTTTCCGAGACACACAAAGTAACGTTTAATCACCACGTTAATTAACCCGAAAAATTTTTTTTCTTAATTTTTCTTTTTAGATGGATTCGGTGGACCTCTGAAAGTAGACGAAATAAAGTCGGGTAATGTTGTGACAGGAATACGCTACGTCATACTCAGCACAACAGAACACGATAAAGGACTGTACTCCTGCACGGTTACTAACAAGTTTGGCTCTGATACCAAGTATCTTAACTTGTATGTACATGTGCATGTGGATTCCGGTGGGAATGGTTCTGGTTCAGGTAAGGGTGGGATAAATATACGTGTTTATTACTGTAGCAAAGGAGGCACTCCCAAAAGCAACGAAGATGCTCGTCGGAAAATTAGAATTGAACCCCTGACAACGACCAATCTGGGTACGGCTTAGGCTATAGTAGCTTCAAAATTAATATAAATAATGTGTTTTCCGTCCTGAACAATCTACGTGAGATCAAAATCTGCAATTTCCTTTCTTCAGTCCCCGCGCAAAGCATGCCTTACATTGACATCAGTACATGTACGACTACGAAACGTTCTACACGTAAATTGTGTACAAATTAAACCGACTTGACTCTCGACTTAACAAGATCTATTTCTGTCACTTTACTACGTGAATTCTTCAAAACTACACTGTATTCTTCTCCACGAAATATCAGTTTCTTTCCTTTTAAGAAAAATTGCGTCTAGTAGGCAAGGTTGTTTTTAATTTGGAAAGACATTAAGCGTCCTTAGTTCCCGTTGTCTTCGACTGCCGAGTGCTGATAATAAAAGGGCCGCGAATTTTGATGAAGAACACTTTTGGGCTTTAAGTGCTAATGGTATTCAAATGTGATTTATTATACAATGCCTTCATTTTACAAGAAAAGCTTAAACAGAAGAGTTTTTCACAGTAGCTTCACGGCTTCTGAATATATTCCGTTTTTTCTACCAAATTATTGTGTCGAGGTCCAATAGAAAATGATAACCTTTTTAGATGAGTGGCTTAGGATATGTGGTAGTAGAAACTGTACGAATAACTTTGATTTTAATTGTATGTGTGCTTTCTTTATAGGTGCCGGGCAATAGGCAAAAATAATGATGAAGCAGATCGTGGACGAATTAAGTTATATGGAATATTTACTTAGGACTTCCACTTTCGTGATGTATTTTACTGAAGTACAGTAGTCTAGAAACGAGGAAGGCAGTACGTAAGCCATCAGAGTTGTAAATGATCGGAAAAGATAATAGAGGAATAAAATGCATCCAGACCGAATATTCAAAACTTCTATTATCTTGCTTTCCAAACAAATGAAATGAGAAATGTACGCGGCCACTTAATGCAACTGCGCTTTTTTTCTTAAGAAAAACTAGTAGAACGCAACAAAGAGCTGATGCGGATCGAAACGCCAAAGACTAAGTGGCCCGAAATGTTAATTTAGACAGCAAATGTAAAAGGAAGAGGCCTTTACTAAAACGCATCCAAAGCAAGCAATTTCTCGACCGCTCCTCCTGCAGGGGCACCCAACGTCAACTTCGGAAAATATCAGTTCGGAAGACGATTAGAGACCTAGAATTTTCGGAACATTTGTTGTAAAATTTCTTGCTTGCCTGCCTCTCCTAGGATTTTTAAACATCCAAAAAATGGTATAATTGCCCATTTTTTAACGGATTTTTTCCCTAAAAAGGTCACCTAGAACTTTCGGGAGCCTTTTTTCTGGCTGAAATTTTCGAGAAGGTCAGTTTTGATCCCCATAATTTTCGGATCACTAGACTTTAAGCTAGGAAATCCAAACAGATGAATAATTTTTAGGGGATAAAAATATGCCCATGTCTACCATTTAAATACTAAAATACGTTTAACAATACTATGTTTAAGTGGTTTTGACCTTTATTCTCGTTGGGTGCCCCTGCTCCTGAGACTGTGCCTAATGCGCGTCATCATAGGAAGAGAAGGAAACTGGAGCGAAAATTGCGTGTTAGTAAATTTGAAAATGACTATCTATAATACACTGAGCAGTGCCGCTTGAGACCAGGGTTAGGGTTAGGGTTAGGGTTAGGTTGACCTACTTTGCCACCATTATTGAGATTAGCAAGGGCGACCAACGCAGCTTGTTCCAGTCCGTTGACCATCTCTTGAACCGTAAAGCTGTTCCCTGTTTTCCATTAAGTTCCTCCGACCTAGAACTCGCTGAAAGTTTCAAGAATTTCTTCGCAAATAAAATTGAGCCCATTCGCGGGCGCGTGTGACTGGTGAGACAACGCCTCCCAGTTTAGAGATTTGTTGTGACGATAATCCCCATGAATCTACAAATTTTCGACCGGTATCGTCCAAGAAAATATCAGATCTTATTAGCTTTAAAGTAGAAAGTTGTTAGTCTATCCTTTCTTACGCCTGTATTGAAACCTTGTCTGTCTCTGTTAACACCAGTTATCACTGAAATTGGAAATCGTGCTGTGGCCACAGGCTTCATACCTCAGTGTCTCAAAACTGCACACAAATTCGACGGTTGCTCAAGAAGACTAGTCCTGACTCTGAAAACTTCAAGAACTTTAGACGAGTGTCTTCCGTTTATTTCTTAAGTCATTGAGGAAGCTATCTGCTTTCAGCTTGCCAACTATATTGAAACTAATAACCTGGGTGAAACCTATCAATCGGCTTATAAGAGTCCTCACAGCACGGAAGCAGCCCTACTTAGAGTTCATAATGATATTTTGGGAGCGATTAATAGCAAAAGATCTGTTGCCTTGTTACTACTTGATCTCTTGGCTGCCTTTGATCGAATCGACCATGGAATTTTGTTACA